TATCTGAATATTTGTAGGGATATAAGTGCTTAAAAGGTTTTGCCCTTAATTTCTGATCAAGTTGCTGTTTTGAAATACTACAAGCTCTCGCATTACAGGCCAAATATATATTTATAATATTTATTCAATATCGTGGAAAGCATTTTAGACCATTATATTCTGAGCTTCGAGTGTCAGAAATACCTGTCTCTCAATTTTTATTCGGAAGCATCGAGTTGGTTGGAAGTTGGGGAGAAATATCTGGACCTATAGCGATCCAAAGCGCTACAAACCTCGTATTTTTAATTCTCTTGCTTCCTGACACACAGCGCATGGGGAGCAAAAGCATGTTGTAAGACAATCACCACATCCTCCCGGGAGACCATAAATATCTCGTATATTAGATCGTTGTCGCTTGTGTATGTACCCACAGTTTAGGAGCATTGAGTTCCATGCATACAAGAAGCAAGGACATCGATATGTTATACCACCGGTTTGCTCAACATTTTGACCAAACAAATAACATGGACAAAAAAGACCAGAAATACAAATGTTGGTATCGTCAAAACAATCAAATAAGCCGGCTGAAAGAAAGATGAGACGTGACATATAAATTGAGAAATAGGGAACGATATAAATCATTCTATCACGTACTTTTCCATTCTGACGCGGGAATCCATTCTGACCGTAGTGGCCCTACGGACATGTTTTTTACCAAGGTTATTTGATGAGGAATTCAATCAAAAGAAATATTTTAAACTGTTTTCACTCTCTACTTCTCGCTTATCCCCTGTGATTTGTAAGAATTTCTGCTAAGTCGCTTTTTTAAATGTTATACCATAAAAAATAAGGCAGGTAAAACAGAAAACGTGTATCTTACCTATACAACTGTCTCTCATTATTTGTAAGATAAGAACAAAGCAGTGAAAAAAAAGCTTGCCAGCGTTCCTTCTGTAAAGCAAAAATGTGAAAACTTCCAGGTGAGCTAGGTGCACTTAATAAGAATATATATAATTGTAAACGGATTTTTAAGATGTTGTAAACCCCTTAAGACTAATTTAAGATGTTGTACACAAAACGGGATTTTAAACTCGTACCTAAACGTCATATACAAATATTGTATATCAATCAGTGATTTTTGTTATGACTACATCTATACTTCGTTCACTTTTCTCTTTCATGCTGATTGAATAATATAACACATTATACCTATCGCATTTATATATATGTAGGATACTGGTACTGTTGATTTACTTTTAAGATTAGATATTTGAAATAGAACTAATTGTAAAACTGTTGTCGAATCTTTGAAAATCCGTCGTAAATAGGTAGGTAATCATAGTCTTTTAGAATTACAGAATTTTCTCTTCTTTTGCATATATCTTTAAAAGTGAATAAGAGATGAATCAAGGTAATTCACCACGATCGACAGATC